AGCTACAGGTACAGAGCTAAGGGAGCGCAAAAATCGAAGAGTGGAGGCGCAGGTGGAGATAATATACCTGAACCGATATATAATGACTCCATTGACTGGGAGTTTAGCGCTGATATGTCATTTCTCCCACACGTATCCCAGAAGAGAAGGTAATTAATATAAAAGTACCACGGAGAAAGTTGATGACTTATTTCATACCACCTTACAGAACCTGTACTTTACCGGACTTTAGGGAGGAAACTCCCACCTGCACTTTCGAAAGCGAGAGCATCTGCAGTTCCAATAACAACAACAATAGCAACGGGGCCTATGATTATGTAAGTACTATACTATACTCGCAGGTTTCACAAATAGAGGTGCTATGTCCTCTTTTCCAAAAGCCCCATTTTTTCGAGTTTGGGGTTGATATATCTTAGTCTACCAAGTCTACACCAATACAATATATTGGAAAGGTGTAGTGCACAGCGTCATTCAAACCCACATACATACATACAAAATTTGAATTTTATATGCATATATAGAAGATATGAGTCGATACATATCAAATCAAGTGTACGAGTATCATTCTTGCCATTCCAGATTTCAACGCCCAAGCGTAATCGCACATCTCTTGATAAACAGAATACGGAGATTAGGAATAAATTGGATAGTCTCCTCCAAGCACAAACGAAGTTAATTCAAGCTCGCGAGGTCGCTGCATCCGAGGCTCCGTTTCAAAATGCTTTGAAGGGGATAGACTACTTTCTTCAGCAATGGCCAAAGGAAATTGCAGACGCGGCCTGTGTCGAGTTTACAAAGGTTTTGTGTCAAAAGGTTGCCATACATAAGCTAAATAATTCGTAAGAAAATAAGTTTTTTTTGCCAAGTCGATGTAGTTGAGGTTATTTCACAAACCATCCGGTCCAATGCTTACTATAAATTGAAAACACGATCACTGAATCGAAATATCTAACAAAGTATCACACATCGACGACTGAGTGGAAGATCGACCTATTTCGGCAACCCGTTCGAAAACGCCCTATCTCACAAATCTTTTCAAGAACGTCCTACTTCAGAATTTGGTTGAAGAATGCGCTATTTCAGAATTCGGTTCAAAAACGCCATAACCCAACATATTTTCATTATATTTTTAGTTGAGATAGGGCATTTTTCAATAAAATTCTGAAATAGGGCATTCTTCAACCATATTCTGAAGTAGGGCGTTCTTGAAAAGATTTCTGAGATAGGGCGTTTTCGAACGGGTTGCCGAGATAGCTCGATCTTCCACTCAGCCGTCAATATATACTTTGCAATCCAAGTCTGTAAAAATGCAATTCCGATGGACCCTGTAATAGCCCCGACTATAGAATCTTGCTTTAATTAAAACTAAAGGTAAACAGTTAGTTCAAATAACGTGTAACAATCTTTCGTTTATTCTTTACTTCTTTAAAATAGCCACACTACGAGAAATAAAAGATGAACTTTTCTAATTTAAATACAGAGTTTGAAATTTGGATTGGTACGTTTTTTGTTAACCAATGACCTATACTTTTATAAAAACAAATAATTAAAATTAATTTGAAAAAAGTTCAATAGATGCTTATACAAATGCAGCGCTGTTCTGCCATGGAACAGATCCGGACTCCGAGTTAACGTATTCCTTTAAAATATTTCTTATAAACTTTCCATAATCCGTAGCTCTTCCTCGGAACGCAGGCAAATTACTCTGAATAAAGGAGTCACCTAAAATTAATGGCTCCCATTCACCGTGTACCCAGATTCGGTTTGTATCCTCAAAGCCAGAGAAATTATTATCACAATAAGATTGTGATTTTCTTAACAAAAAGTTATGTAATAAACAGCAGGCTATAATGATAATTTGAGCACGATCTGGACTACAAAAAAGCACCTTCCGTAAGCAAAGCCATCTTGCACTTAATATACCGAATGCATTTTCTATGCAGCGTCGTGCCCTACTCAGCCTATAATTAAAAATTCGCTCATCCGGCGACAATGGTTTTGCACTGTATGGCTTCATGATTCGTTTACATAATGGGAATGCGTCATCTCCAACCATGAAAAATGGAACTCTTTTACCCATGATCGTAGTATCTGATGGGAATAGACATCTATCGCTTAATATTCTCTCGCCAAATTTTGAATTGTTGAAAATGTTGGAATCGCCTTCGCTACCGTAAGCTCCTACATCAACATAGGTAAATTTATAAACAGCGTCGCAAGTTGCCAGAAGAACCACTGAATAGAATCCCTGAAAAATTATTTTGTGTATAGCTGTATATGCAAACGAAATAAGATACAACTTACTTTGTAATTAAAGAAAACACTTCCACTTTTTCGTGGCGCTTTTATAACAACATGTTTGCCGTCTATAGCAGCCACACAATTTGGGAAGTTCCACACATCGCTAAACCCATCTGAGAATTTCTTTAGATTGTCTTCTGACCACTCTGGTATTTCAGTCTTGAAAGCTTCTACGATTGCGGAACACACTTTCGTTATGATTTTCCCAAAATGCTGCTGGCTTATTCGATAGCAAGATGCTATATGCCAGGTACCTGAAAACCATGTTTGCACAATGCTATATGAAAATGTCAACTATATTTAATATCATAAATAACATACTCGAGAACAATAGCAAGTTTGGCTTTTTCGGGGATGGAGTCTCGTGGCCTCGTATTTCTTTTCCTTCGCAAATGCGGCTCTAGTATATCGAAAAGTTCGTCAAAGGTCTCCGGTTGCATACGAAAATTTTCGGCAAATCGTTGTGGTGAAGCTCTTAAATCTTCGAAATCTTTCGTAAACCTACCCTTCTCTCCTCTGTCCGCAAGATACGGATGAACCCTATAAGAGGGGCTCCTCCCGATCTTTTCGTAGGAGTCTAGCAATTCTAGCCCCGTCATCAGAATGCTGCAGCTTAGAGACATTTCTAAATCAATCCTGTAATTTCAATAAACATATAATCACGGTTTTTGTTAGTATTTTAGAACAAACTTACAAACTGTTATCCATTTTTGCGTTTACTGCCCGTCAGTTTTGTTTACATTTTAATTTCTCTTTCCTGCTTGTTCTTTTTTAGTGCTATTCACAATGAATAAATTAAACGTCAAAATTCCTTATCAAGCAAAAGAAAAATATATAGATTTGTTCTTGAGACTTTTCTTGGGAGGTGGATAGTAGGCTTTAGCAAGGCAAACTTAGCACAGTGCGTGGGCAACTGGCTGAGTCAGTGGTGATCGTCGGTTCGAATCCTACTGAAAGGAGTGTGACGAGGAAATGTGGTGATTTCCGAAATAGCTATCACTTCTACCATTTTTTTCAAATTATTGTTGCTTTTCCACATTAAGTTTTTCACTTAAAACGGCCTCAAGCTCATAAAAATTGTTGAACATAATTGTTATAAGGCCATAAAATAACAAAAAACAAATAACTTAAGGACGAGCACACCTAAAAGTTAGACATTCTAATAATAGAAATATTAACAAAAACCAACAAAACCAACAACCA